AAACTCATATCATGGTTACAGAAAAATAGTCCACAGGACTATGCACCAAATCCCACTGTGTAATTATGGATGTTTACATGCAGCAATCTCTGGGTGTGTGGAGTTTTCTTGGAAAAGAAATGGCATATGGTTTGTTCTGTGGTAGATCATATGAACATGAAGTATGCAGACATGCATATTAAGTATGCAGGTGGCTTGCAAATGTTCTTGCTCTTGGAAATCTTGGGCTTTTTTAACCAAAGAGAAACAACCACAACACATCACTTTCGCTTATACACTGCTTAAGTACTAATTAGTTTAGCTAAATGTAGTTCAGGATTGCAGCCTAAATAAAGAGCACAAGTCCAGCTTGCATTTTAAATGAGTTTGTGTCTGTAAATGCAGTCTTGCAACAATTCTGATGTTTTTGATTGTCAATTATTATGGCACATTTTTGATGATGAACAGTCTGCTTGAACTAAAATAACCAATTTTCTATTCTTTTTTTTTATCCATTTCAGATGATTGGAGGGATTTTTCTGGTGCAGACGGATTGAGTCCGGTTCTTTGCAGCCTTGGGGCAAGTACCTATACGCCAGTCTAGATCTGTCTATAAACCACTGGCATCATTCTCACAGGCAGCAAATGACTTTTCTGTCACTCTACCGCTCACTGAAGGACGTTTTCTGAAGGCAAAAGAATGAGGTGGGGCTTTAATTCAGTGAGGTTTGAGTGTAAGAACATTTCACTCGGTTCGTTTCACCATTGCAAAACCACAGAATATGTGCGGCGAGTCGCCAAGGACCATGTCCAGAATAAATGGTTGCTTAATAGTCTTGTCTTCGTTTTGCGTGTGGTCTCAGACATTTTTAAAATCAGTTCGAGGTGGTCTTGGCTTTCTGTTAATGTGCCATTGAGGGATCACATTTCCCAAGAAATCTTATAATATTCCCTTTTTGCCTAGCATGTTGGGTATTTCCTATTAATTTGGTACATTTAACTGTATAAGCATGCTCTTTTGTGTTTTTAGCTTGTTAACTTACTACACTAATATTGATGCAGTCAGTATTGACAACAAACTCATAATAAAGGTCTTAATAAGAAATACATTGGATAAATACTATTATTATTAACCCTTCAAAGCCTGATCTTTTTTTTATGAAACAGTTTATTGAACCTTAGACAAAATATTTTCTCTCTTCCGCTTGAATGATTTAAAACCACATTAAAATATGTGTACAGGAATCGATAAGTAGAATCAAAATTTCAATTAAATGCCCATTCTCATCCCAAGACGTCATCTAACTGACGCTTTTGACCATACATCAACATCCGACGTTTTAGGGTACCCTTTAACGTCAGTTAGATGACGCTATCTAATCCTAACCCTACCTCAGACCTAAACCTACCCACGTCATCTAAGCATCTAAGGTACCCTAAAACGTTGTATGTTGACGTATGGTCAAAAGCGTCAGTCAGATGACGTCTTGGGATGAGAATGTGTTGAAATTACAAGTATCCGATGCCTGACCACCTTAAGTATGGGAATCAACCAGAATTTGAATCATTTTCGATTTCCCAACCCTATAGGATGATATTTTGAGAATACAGAGGAAACAACACCACATTTTAATTCAGAGGCCCAAACTGAGCAAAAATATGCAATTTGGTACAGTTGCTGATATTAATATGGCCAAAAAGTAAGATGAAATTCTGATATAATGTAAATCAATTAGATCTTTAGAACAGTAATGCAGACTACTTCTATAAAATGCATATAAATATCAGTTGTCACTCTATGTCTGCCAACAATGTCTTAGTTAGATAATATTTAAATGCTTAGTTTTATGATCAAAGCTCTGAAGTTTACATTAAAGTCTGTGCAATACAATCAGTCCCTCCAGAAAAACGCGATTATGCGATCGCATGATTAGTGCATAATCAGCCAAAGTCCGCATATTTATGCGGGGGCATTTTTTTCAAATACGCCGCACTTTCGCCGCATAAATTGGCGATTTCCATGCAAAATATGCGGGGCTTGCATGATTTCATAAACCTCGCATTTTCGTTTGCAAGAAAAGTTTGCTTCACACAAGAGCAGCCGTTTCCCGCTGTTGCCATGGAAACGTTATGAAGTGACGTAATTACGCGACGTGAACATCATCGAAAAGCTGTAAAACAGGACCACACTCTATTTTTTATATTTTATTTATTCATTTTTACAGAAGTTGTTGCATACTCCTTTAGTAAAGCTACAGAACTTGTTTGACTCATCAATGTTTTGTAAGTTTGATATTTTTGTTAAGGTCTAATAGAAAACAAAATGATCATAGGAAGTAATAAGAAATTACTCTTTACACATTAAGGCAGTAGCCTAGTGAGAATAGGGTGTTGGGGAATCACTTTTTTTTTCATCAAACCACAGTTTTTTTTCAAGTTCCCGCAATTTCATCGCACAAAATTGCATAAATGTCCCGCATTTTTCAGCGAATTTTTTAAGAAAACAGGCCGTATAATCAAGGACTTATACCTGCGGCAATCAAGAAAAAAACGTTTTTTTTTTTTCTGGAAGTACAATGATGACTGAGAGATGAACAAATAAAGTAAGGAAAGTAAGAATAAGTATTAAGTAAGGAAAGTAAACCTATGTTGCTTCAGTAAGTGTTCATCTTGAAATATTACTAACAATATCGGTAAAGATTTTACAGCAAAAAGACACATGGACCACAAGCTGACGGTGGACGTTTTTTACAATGATTCTAAAATGCTTTTTACTTGCTTACGTTGATCATTTAGAGACCTTAGAAATTTGCATATCAAATATGATACAGTTTGATATGCCTTTTTGGAATAAACAGCAGAAGAACTAACAATACATGTTTTTTTAAGCCTGTGAGGAACATGCATTCCAGATCTGAATAAGTGGAGTGGGCATTACAAACTTTAATGCACCAGGAAGGCACGTTATTAAATGAGAAGACGACACCCATCAGTCGTGTGACAGTTCTGGTTCAGTCTTTCAGCAGAGATCTGTATCTGAGCCCAGAGGTTAAGCTGTCAACAACGATCTCTCTTTCCTGTGTGTGTGTGTGTGTGAAGGAAAGAAACCTGCCCGGCAAGACCTGGCTCCTCCGTGTCTCACGCTCTGCTCACAGGGAATTCTAGCGAGCTCAGATTGTTATCAAATACTGTCGGTCAGCCAGGATTCCCTTCACTGCCAGAGCGGAGAGAAGGGTGAGCCAACGTGCCGACAGATCACTTCCTTTCTATCTGTCCTGCTTTTTGATCTGCAGGAAGCATGGCAGCATTTCCCGACCTGTCACTGACGGTTTTAACATGTCGGGAGTTGCATAGCCACGGCAGGACGCCATTAAGCGCTCGTTCCGGTGTTATTTGCACGACAAAGGGATCTGACGGCTGTTTTCTTGTCTGAGACAGTAAGGTACAAAGCAGCCCTGTTGGACTAATGCATCAGGGTTGTCACAAACGGCTGGTAGTAAAGAAGGGAAAAGATCCCTTTCAAGTGCACTTACACCACCAGCTGTGATTCACTTGATTTGGAAACATTCTGACTCAGAGAGACACTTCCAACGGGATGAGATTAATGCAACACATCTTTTTCACTTGACACTGCTCATAAACCCTGTTTCTTAATTACGTTGTTGTTAGAAAGTCCAGACCAGTCCCAGTTCCTGAAGGGTTTTCCAGTGCCCCAAATATTCACTAAAACATGTACACATGTCCTGAATAACCTGTTAGGATCACTGATGTCAAATTAAGTTCTTAGGCTCAATCCCTATTCACCCCTTGGCCCTACCCCTCCGTTTTGCGCGTTCACGTCTAGGGGTAGGGTGTCCCAATTCTCGTTGAGATCAAGGGGTAGGGCTACATAGCCCTCGAAACTGAGAATGCATCGCAAATCACCCTCGAGATGGCTTTGCAAACGGTTAAACATTTACATTTAGCGCCAGATGACTTCACCATGCACCTTATTTACCCTTATAATAATACTATAGTCATTTAAATTACGAAATTGTTCAATAAATTACCTTTTCGTATCAGAAAAGACATACATTTTGAGGAAGGAATGTTATAATCATCACGTTTCCTCAAAGTTAAGTCGTTGTCATGGAGAAATCCTGTAAAAACTCTGTAACGGCAGAGCCATCGCCGACGACTGATGACGTATCATCGGGTTCATGAAGGGTTGTTCCATTTCAAAGGGGAATATTTCAATTCCTTGGCCCTTTGTAACTCTGTTTTAAGGGGTACACTAGAAAACAAGGGGTAGGGCCAAGGGCCGTGTGTCCATCAAAGCGCCTGGAGTGTGCTTTTAATTGTTTTCAATGGGAGCGCCACTTTTTTTAAACGCCTTGAGCAAAACGAGGTGCTGAGCGTTTTTTTTTTCACGCTGAAGCGCTGTGAGCTCTGCGTTTTTACTGGTCGCCGAGGGTTGAAAAATGTTCAACTTTGGGTAAAACGTAGCGCTCATCACTGTCACTTTTTACCCAGCCGCCCAATCACAGTGGAGGAGGGGCGGGACTAAACCACACCGACCAACTGTCACGACATTCTTTCTGTACAACGACATCAACCAGCAGAGATAACCCAACAAAATGGATGATAAATAAATTTTTAGTATGAAACAAATTATCTGCGAAATCAGTTTCAAGTAAACTGTGCTGCGGATATTCTGTATCATAGCAACGAAACTTCTCAACGGAAAAAACGCTGCGCTGACAAAACGCTCTCAAGCGCCCAAAGCACGGCGTCTTCAGCAGAGCGTCTGCCGTATTCAGCTGGATAAAAAAACTTTGGTGGACACACGGCCTAGTCTAGTCTGTTTGTTTCTGGTCTTGTTTGAGGTTCTATCGTTTAAAAATGTGCAGTAATTAGTATTTAAAAAAAATGTTTTGAAAGAAGTCTCTTTTGCTCGCCAAGACTACATTTATTTTGATCAAAAATGCAGTAAAAACTGTAATATTGTGAAATAGTTTTGTCAATTTTTTTTAAAAAAATAAAAAGTCTTACTCACCCTAAACTTTTGAATGGTATACTTAGTTAGTATAGTATATACTAAGTATACCAAGTATACTTAGTATTAAGTATTAACTATTAACTAAGTATAGTAATAGTATACTTTCATTGTAAAACTGCAGTTTTGTGTCAGTGGCCCATAGCAAAAACTTTAAAGTTTGTTCAATCAGTTGCATTTTAGAGATGGACAACCAACAGACTTGGTTAACTAAATTCCTTAAATCTGTTTTGTTATTTTAGAGTAAATGTATCTTTTCAAATTTACTATCCGAGATTCATTCAAAAGATTAATTATAAACAGATAAATAAAGTCCATAAAATAATAAATTTTACACTATATAATCTGATCAAATAAATAATGACAGCAGAAGAAGGAATATTGTTCGACTAATTATCCGGCCTTTTTAAGTGCTCATAGGAATAGTGATTCATTCTGCTTTGATGTGGCACTAAAGATTTTATCAACTTAAAACTGTTTTAGGGCATTTTTTTTCATCTTAGACTGGAGGTATTCAGTTCAGAAAGTCAATATTTGTAATTCTACCCCTAAATTAAGTAGGTCACACTGGATATGAAATACGAGATGAGTTTTGACTACAGTTGTGTGGTCTGTGTGTTGGGGAGTTTGAGCAGTGCTAATCATGGCTAATGAAGCAATCACCTCGCCA